CACCAATGTGGTCTACAGAGAGGTCCTTCAGTTGGGGGGGGTAGTACATATGTCTCACTTCATTTTTTACAGTACAATCTTCTCCATTAGAATTTCTACAACAAATGTCACATTTCAAACTTTACATCATCAGTATTATAACTGGATTTACGGAACTTAAATACCGTAGCAAAGCACGGGTATCAAGCTAGTCTCTAATAAAGCATTACACTGACAATAGTGTGTGTGGAGAGTGGGGACCTGACAGGAGGTGAGGACTGGCAGGCAGGGATGAAGTGGGGTTAGACAGCATCTTTAAAACAGGCTACTGTAAGAGGCCAAAGAGGAAGGAGGGGCACAGCTGGGGCCTGAGGAGCCTCTGTCCTGTGACAGAGAAAGAATCGGGTGAAACAACCCCTTTATATCTCTATTTTGAGGCATTCAGAGACCCACCAGTGGGGGGGGGCAGCAAGATGGCTGAAGGTCAGCTGACAGAGCTGGAGAAGGGAGAACCTCGTACCTCAGTAAGTCTTCCAACAGACTTCAGTGTGTGTGCGCGCGCAACCTGTGCGGGTGTGCCTGTTTATACATGTGAAAACAGTTTTGTATGGTTTCATGATTAAGTTGGGAAGGGGAGCCTTAAAATCTCTAAAAGTTAATCTTACAGTTCTGACGACTTTTTTTTTTTTTGTTTGGCTTGCCATGCTAGAAAAACAGCCTACAGGAATGTATTCAAGTACTATCGCACAGTCAGCAGAGCAACAAACCTTGTGGCAACATCAGCTAATCCAAGACATTGTGTTAGAGTCAGTGCATCAGTACTTCTGTGCTACTCTGCCACATGTGCCTTGTAAAAGATCTGGCTTAACAAAATTGTTATATACAGAATTAGTTTTCTGTTATGTATGGGGTTATCTGGTTTTTTTGTAAAGCGTGAGCTTCAGTCACAAACTCCATAGACTGTCAGCATTCTAAACGAAGCAACCGGATTGGTCACTGTTGCTAACAGACCAATCCGGATAGACTCTGACTTTCAGCAGAAACAATTCCCATTGGACCCAAGCACTCATCTTTGATTGGTTGTTATTGTTTCAGGGTGTGTGGTTTTCCTGGTTCAAACTGTATATAGTTGGGTTGTTCTGTGTGTTGTTTGTCTGTGTTCTGAGCTAATAAAGAAATCACTTGTTTGAAACGCTGCCTCGATCTCAGTACATAAAATTTTCCCAACATAGGCCCTGGTCACACGGGAGGATTTGCCACGTGAGAGAGATGGATTGGGGGCGCATCTAGCAGGCGCGATCACACTGCAACATCTGGGAAGCAGAGTGCACCCGTCCCCGATCCGTCCCTTCCGGGCGAAACTGTGCATAAAAAAAAAACCCTAGAAAACACTACTACCTACCTGAAAATCCACAGCAGGGGCGGCCGTGGGATTGCGGCGCACCCATCTCTGGCAGCATGCGAGGCCCCAGGCCAAACTGCGCAGGCGCGCACATGCGCAGTGGGCTGCCTTGCTCGCCGATCTGTGGCTTCCCCCTGGCATCTGATTGTGCCGGGGAGCAACTGCGCAGCGGCTCGGGGAATCTATCTGATCCCGCCGCCACGTGTCTTTTTTGATGCGGCTCAAAAAAGCCGCACTTCAGCCACACCTTTTTCCCTAGTGTGACCGGGGCCATAGTCTCTGTTGGTATATTAGCATGTATTTTTGTACCCACTAGCATTCATTACAACAGCAGTGGTAAATATGAAGTTTTATGTTAGAAGTGATAAGGAGATAGTATACAAACAAAGCTTATGAATATAACTGCTGTTATAAATCACCTTGTATTAAAACTTACCTCAAGAAAATATTGTAATAAATAAATGAGTAAAATTTTACGCGGACTGCCATTATCCCTGGTAGTCTTACTGATGGTGTGTCCAAAGAGTGATTAAGCTGGAAGCACAGTTGTGATCAACAAAGAAAATTTAGTACCAGTTTTATTCCCATACTGTTTTTAAGGAAGCCTCAAGATTTTCATGCTCCATTTAGCTCCTTGACTTCTTGTTTCACTGCATGCAATCCAACCTAGCAAACTATTGCTTGTGCTTGGCCTCAGAATTGCCAATGATCTAACTATAGATTGAGCTTGATTTCTAGTTCAAATTGGGAGGCCAAGCACAAGCCATAATTTGGAGAGCTGGATGCAAGGGCAAACTATGGGCGATTTCTCACTAGAGCTGCCTCGCAGCGCAGCCGCCGTTTGCCTCGACACAAACATGTCAGTTTCACACCCGAAGCTGCGGGGCTGCATTTTGACTCGCAGCTTCGCCCGATTTCCTCCGCAGTTTCGTGATCCTGGGTGCCTCGGGTGTGAAATTTACATGTGTGTGTCGAGGCAAACGGCGGCTGCGCTGTGAGGCAGCTCTAGTGAGAAATTGCCCCAAGTATTATATGTAAATTGAGAGATAATCTTAGAGTTTTCTAGGCATCTATGCCAGTCATAGTTTAGGTCAGGATTAGTCATTTGTTAAATTTAAAAATGAGCTTGCTGCTTTTTTTGTACTTCTCAACATCCCTTCTATTTATCGCTGTTTCATCATGTGACGACAGGAGGCTGTAATAATTATTATTATATAGCAGTGGGTTTAGTATAGCCAGGAGATCGAAAGATTGTCTAGCAACCTGAAACCCTAGTTCTTTTTGTGGCGAGCCAGGTTTATTTTTTGGGCTGAGAGAACTGTGATTGATCCAAGGTCACCCAGCTGGCTTCAAGTGGAGGAGTGGGGAATCAAACCCAGTTCTCCAGATTAGAGTCCACCAGTCTTAACCACTATACCAAACTGACTCTTTTACTGGAGGCTGAAAGGAAAAACAGTTACTCAACCATTTCATCCCTGAACCTATGGGAGTGCTGCTCCAGCATCCAATCACCTTTCAGAGGGAGAATGGAATGTTGGAGGGAAGCACAGTAGCACTTAGTTCAGGTCTGCCTCAGGGAGAGGGCAGTGATAGTTACCCTGGAAACCTCACTAAAAAAGCATACAGTTTGAAGCATAACTCTGTCTCATAGTATAGTTTATCAATACCTCTGGGACAGGACAGAGTATCCAATTGTTAGGTCTGCTTCTGGTAATGAGCAGACCTCGTACCCGTTTAGTCTGATTCTTGGGAAAGGGCAGGCTAGTGTGGATGGAATCCTTTGTGTGTGAAAGGATCCAACCTAGTGGCTTGTTAGTGAAAGCCTGTTTGTACCTGAAAGCACTAAAGAGAATTCAAAGCATACTCTGAAGCCATAAACTAGCATAAATTTATGTGCCTCAGTCAGGTTTCTCCTTTGTCTGGAAACCTGTGCTGTTGATCTGTTCTTTAAAACCAATCTGTAAATTTATTTATTTATTTATTTATTTACATGTGATTTATATACCGCTCGTAACCCCTAATGGGTCTCAGAGCGGTTTACAGGGTGCTACACCATAGTAGCTAATAACCTATCTAGGGCCACAATGTAGTGAGGGGGGGGGACAACCTAGCAGCACCCATTTATACGGCACAATCTTACTTTGTTCGGCAGCTTTCATTATTGTTCTCAGTGGCCCGGCGACCATCTTGCTTAGGCAGCTTTGATGTTGTTCCTGGCGGCCTGGGTGACCATCGGCTAGGCTCGAGCAAGCTGTCATTCTTTCTCCTTCGGAGCAGCGCATCTTTTTCCTCGGGCGCAGCCTCGGCCAACGTCCAAACGGCTCCTGCCGTGCTGCGTCCCGTGTTCTTGCGTCACTCCGACTCCGTCTCCGCCTCTGACTCCGCCTCTATCTGCGCTTTTGTTATTTACATACAACTCCTGCCTCAGTGAACTCTGTGTTCTATTTGCTCACCACAAAACTTAACTCCACAAATTGAACTCCTTTACATTAGCTACCCAAAGAACATCTTGTAACTGAGACAAATGTTTACAGTTCAAAGCAAACCTGGTTCCCCAAAATCATAAGAGGCTGTGTGGTAGAAAGGGCCTGTTACACATCAAATCTCTGTTACTTCTTCCATGTCCTGAATTTGAGTTTCCAAAGTTGTGTGGAGCCTAAACCTCCTAGATGTATCCTTTCATCCTGGATGCCTTGATTTGTAATGTCAAAATATTAAATATTTCTGATTCATGTAGGAAGTTTGGGCTCACAGTGTACTCACTGCTGATGGCAGTTGTAATGTAATCTTGGAATAACTAGTAATATGTTTTCATGAGTTTTGCCTTCTGTTGATTCTCAAAATTAGTCATGCGATCTTCTCAGTTGGTCTCAGATAAGCTCTCTCCTTTGCATCTCCTACTAAAAGTAAGCCTGTATATACAAAACTGAAATCCTTTAATTTAGTCTCACCATCTCCTTCCTCCCCTCCTGCTACTATCAGCTTTTCAATTGTAAACTCCTCAGGACAGGACACTGTATTTTTACACTGGAAAATATCACTTGTTAGTGGCAGTATTTAAATAACAAGGAACATTACAACATTCTTCAAGAGGGCTGATCAGATATATTGTGATCGAATTATCAGGGGAGATGATGAATTAGATTAGTGAAATAGAAAGAGGTAGCTTAATGATGTGGAGGGCACAATGGTGGCGGAGAGAAGGTATATTAATCAGGTCTAGTCCAAATTGCTGAGTGTGCCGTTAAGAGCTATGTAAACCTTTTTTTAAAAAAATTGCAAAGAATAAAAATGTGTCAACTTCTTGTTTTGCTTTTTTTTCATGGTACAACAGTTCATTCAAAGAGCTTCAGGGAGTAATTAGTTTCAGCAGTGCTGCCTGGAGTGTTCATCACCGCAAAAGGTTGCTGCCTCATAGTGTTTCAGCACGATCTGTTTTCCAGCCTTTAGCAAGCAGAGTTTTAAAATAATGCTCATAAAGGTGTTATAGGAAAGTTTAGACTGCTTTTTGTGAATTATAGAGCTGTTGAGAACCTTAGCATACTGATGGTGATTAGGCATCTGGCCGTTGAGAGTTGACTTTATAAAAATACTTTTGTTGCTCCATTTCTTCCTGCAGTACTGGTTACCAATGTATTTACTATTCACCGGAAAACACAGCCAAGGCAAAAGAAGTTCTCAGTAACATCAATCATCTGCAGCCTCTCATATCAAGCCACACAGACCTGCTGCTTAATTCTGCCAGGCAGCATTTGCCAGACAGCTTGAAGAATTCCTTAAAGACGCTTTCAGAAACGGTAAGATTCAGCGAAACGGTCCCTGCAGCAGCAGCTAGAACTACCAAATCCCCAGATGCAGCCTCTGTCTGCATAAACTGACTTCCTTTGTATAGGGAAATATTACATCATTTTGGTGGTTGCAAGCTGCAGGATGTTGACATAAGAAAAGGATACTCTCTTTCTGTACTGTGTGAATGGTTATCAAGCATTTCTGTGAAATGTAAATGTAAGGAATAAAATTAGGCTTCATTACCTTTCTGAGCAAAAATGGCTACATCGTTTTCCTTTTTACATGTTTCTGTAGCTGCAAAACCAGCAGATGACTAAAAATAAACTATCATTAGTTTTTCAGACACGATGCACTTCTTTTTGCTCCCCATGAGGCACTGTATCGTCTGTGTGCCTCTTAAATGGTAGATAATTTATGTTGCTTTTCTGAGTGATGTAGCGTGACTGTAAAAATGGAAAGCAGTGTGGCCTGGAGGGGATAAGCATAAGGAAAGACTCTGCAAGAGTCCCTTATCATGATGAACATTCCACATTTGTTTTCTTTTTTCAAAATGTAACTAGCTGGCCTGTTCACAGCTGTTCATGGCTTAAAACACTGAAGTACCAGACTTCCATATTTTTAAATTTCACCTCTGATGAGGGGTAGGTCGAAAGGGACCAATTGCATAGGCCTTTGGTGTACTGAAATGCATCATATTTTGAATATCCTAACTTTCTTCTATATAAATCTGAATTAACATTGTGTTTGTGCACAGAGGTCATTTTGGGGGGGTCGCGGGGGATCGCAGTTCCCCCGGGTGAGGTACGGGGGGCGGGGCACATGACGAAGCCCCGCCCCCTGCTTCCGGCCGCCCTGCTTCCGGCCGCCCTGCTTCCAGCCCTCATTCAGCCAGGAGGAGGCAGGAGAAGAGGGAGGGTAAGTTGCTTCCTCCCTGCCTCTCCCCACCCCTGCCTGCCTGGGGCCAGGGAGGGCCTTTGCGGGGCTTCCTTGCACTCCCGCCGGCCTTGCAGATCCACCGCCGGGTCCCTCATGGGGCTCGGCAGTGGAGCTGCAAGGCCGGCGGCGACCGGGACCGTTGGGGGCAGGGTGTGTGGCCTTATGACACACTTCCAGTGATGTCAGGGGGTGTGGCATATGCTCATGAGTTATGCTAATGAGTTCCCCTAGCTCTTTTTCTACGAAACGACCCCTGTTTGTGCAGAGACTTACAACTACTAGTCCACTTAATGTTTTGGAAGGAGCACAAAGGAAAATTGCTTGCAGTTAGTTGTGTTGGAAACTTAATCTGAGTCAACGAAGATGTCATTGTTAAAGCATTTTGGTGTGGTTCAGTTAGGATGAAAGGGAATTGTTCAGAATAGGCATGATATCATTCAATAATGCATTTTTTCTTAACTACCAAATGCCTTTCGGCAATATATTACATTATTTATGTGATAATCATTTGAAATATGAACTGTAAACTTGCCATCAAATCATAGTGGATCATTGCTTGCTATCATGTCTGGCAATTAGCAATTAATGAGATCACAGGCTATCTCCAGCTGTGTATCACCTATCTTGGGCTGACTGTCACTTAACCACTGCTCTCCAAACATTCTGAATTCTATCTTACATGCACTTTGTGCTGGAGGAACTTCTCATACTACATGCTTCCATTCTGCTGCTACATGCAGCAGTGTGTGGATACTATGAAGGAATATTAACCTAAATGTGCCCTTGATCTTGAGAGTCTGGAAGAATAATTTTTCTTCTCTTCACTCATTCTAGTCTTGATATGAGCTTCCAAATTTCAAAACACGAATGACTGATTATTCCCCACCACCTCCCAAATGCAGTACTTAGCCTTGATTTCCCAAGCAAACTATCTTCCTTGCCTATTAATTGCCTAAGTGGCTTTGCCTTGGACTGAGGAGTTTAGTTGAAGAGGGAAGCTGAGAGTCAGAGCTGGTTTAATCAGTTTCTTTCCCTTCCACACTCTCCTGTTGCCACCTGAGCTGAGACAATGTTGTTTTTGTTATAAGGAAGAAGGCAAATAAAACTGAAGTCTTAGAAGGGTATAACACAGTTTAGGATGGCACAGTAAGAGGAATGGCTGTCTGTACCTCTCCATAAAAGACCCTTGTCTCATTCAGCACCAAACAAGACACACCCAGGTTGCTCAGCCGTTTCATGTGTCTTAGAGACACAAGAACCCAAGGATTTTTTGAGTTTAATCATGGTAACATTTATTTATTTATTTTTATTTACATAAATTAAAATTCTTTAATCTTATAAATTGAGAATAGATGGAGTTCACAGATGGGCTTTCTTCCCTTTTCCTTTTCTCATTTAACCTCTTTTTGTTCCTCGAAAAACAGCATGGGAGAACAGGAAGCTTCAGGCTGAGGGGAAATCAGGGGGGAAATTACCTGTTTTGATTTTCCTCTTTCTTACTAAATCCCCTTGCACCATTTGACTTTGTTCCTAAGAGTCCTGAATCTTCAGAAGCAACTTCAGGATGGTCTGCGGGAAGAATGCAAGAGAACCATTCCATAAATTCTTTCTTTCACACTTCAACCCATAATAATTTCTTTTCTGGCCATTATTGCCATCATTGTTAACTACTTGTTCATATAGTAATTTGTGTGCATATTTTCTACTTGCTAATTCCATGTTCTCTTTAATTCTAGACAGAGTTATTTGTGCATGCATTTAAGGATCAGCTGATCAGAAGTGCCCTTTTAGCTCTATACATGGCTCGCCCAGGTTGTGTCCTAAAAAACCCAACTGTGCCAAAGATCAGTGTTGAAGACAGTGGTGATCAGCCAAAACAGGAACATCCACATGAGATTAAGAGACAGGATTCTATACCTCACCATTCAGAATATGATGAAGAAGAGTGGGTAAGTAGCTTCTAAACGCTATTATTTGGATGCTTTCAAAGTTCCTAAGTGCCTTTACTACAAAGAGTCAATTATGCATACCTCTCTTTTTTAAAATTCTAAAGAGGAGGTCAATAGTTACAGCAAAACTTAGGTTCTAAATATGTTTGCCCTGTATATACATGGAAGGGCACTAATGTGCTTGTTCTGCATGTGTTCTCCTTGTGCCGACTAACTTCTGTATGCTGAGAGAGGGAAAAAGAATGGTTTGCATTTCTCCTCTTTCTGCACTGACTCAGGAGAATAAAAAGGAACAATTTAGGTAAGAAATAATTTAAAAGTATTCACAACCAAAAGTATTCACAGAAAGAGAGGAAGTAGTTGTTGGAAGCTTTAATGTTCTGTAAGAAGAGAGAAATCCTTAGTAGGACTATCAAAATTCTATTGAGGTCTATTCAAAGACACTTGCTCCCAGTAAAATGTTCTTAGGGTTGCACCGTAAAACTGTTTATGTAATTTAGATACAGTGAATTCATTTATTTTAAAGAACAAGTGGATAGATTTCCTCTCTTCAGGTCCCAAGAATGCAGTTAAATACATTTTTACTTATACGAAATGTTAGTCATTGAATTCTTGGAGTGGTTTTTGTCAAAAAATGATTAAATGTGTTACTGGATTATCTGATTTCATTATGGGCCTCTGAGGCATTTCAAAAGTTTCTGTGCATGTTTCCCTGCATGTCAGGAGATAATCCATTTTGCCATGGAAGTTAAATAGAACATCAATTTTTAGAAGACTTGAACAATGCTGTTCATAAATATAGTAGGAGGAGACCTCCTAACCCATCCACAATTCGTGGGAAGCTTTAGAAAATGTCTTTTCAGTTTAATCTGAAATGTATTTTTTCCCTAAATTGTTGATTCCTTAAAAGTTAAAAATATTCTGGCACTTAATCTTATATAAACATACTTTAACTCCTGGGCTTTTGTTGTTGTTGAGGAAACTGCCACTTTATTCTCATTTGGTTTTCTTTCTCACTGTGGTCCCGTTCACACTAGGCGATTTGGGCCGGGAGCAGGACAGTTCGGGGGCGGATCAAACCGGCGCGATCACACCACAACATCTGGGAAGCGTCGTGCTTCCGTCCCCGAACTGGCCCTTCCCCGCGAAAATCCGCCTCAACTTGCAACCACCTACCTTGGTGGTTCAAGGGGAAGCGGCGCGGCAAGCCGAGCGTTTGATCGCCGGCGCGTCCTTGCGCCGGCACAACCCCGGCCCGTAGCCGAACTGCGCATGCTCCGACATGTGCAGTTCGGCCGGCTCCCGGTCAGGGCCGTGTTTTCTCCCCGGCGTTTGATCGTGCCGGGGAGAAAAGGCGCCGCGGCCAGGGAATCCGTGGGATCCCGCCGCGGCGTCTCAATGTTGGCGCGGCTTTTAAAAGCCGCGCCTTTAGAGGCTTTTCCCCTGCCGTGTGGCAGGGGCCTGTATTAAACATAGTATCTGTTCCTTTTAACTGGACTCCAGAGTTTTGCTTGTCAAAAATTATACAGCAGAGGTGTCCAAACTATGGTCTGTAGGCCATCACCAGCCTAAGGACCTTTTTGACCCTGTCCTGAAGAAGCAAGGCTGGAGCAGTTAAAGAGATGGGTTTGGAGCAATCATTTTAACCTGTTAAAGAGTGTTCCATCCTAATCTCTTAGGCAGGGCTTTTTACTTGCATCAAAAGCCTTGCTTAAGGGTGGAGCTGGTCTAGCAGCTGCTACTAGAGTTTGTAGGTAGTACCTGCCAACCAAGAGGAGGAGGAGGAAGAAGGAGGAGGAGGAGTCTCAGAGCGGCTTACAAGCTCCTTTCCCTTCCCCACAACAAACACTCTGTGAGGTAGGTGGGGCTGAGAGAGCTCTCTTGAGAACTGTCCTTGAGAGAACAGTTCTGAAAGAACTTATGACTGACCTAAGGTCACACCAGCAGCTGCATGTGGAGGAATGGGGAATCAAACCCGGTTCTCCCAAATTAGAGTTTATGCTCCTAACTACTACACCAAACTGAAAGGTGGGGGGTGGGGTGCAGGATCACAGGAGAATTAAAAAAAAAAATTGCAGCCTCGTGTACCTACCAGAAGTCACAAAGGGTAGTGCTAGAAATCACCAGAAACTCTATGGGAAAACCTTAGAATTTCCAGCAATTCCTAGAACTACTCTTTGTCACTTCCAGTAAGTACACAAGGCTGTCTTTAACAGTACCTAGGGATGGAATATCCCCCCCACCTGGGGTTTGGCAGTCCTAGCTTCAGCCCCAGCTCTTTAATTTAGGGTTTAACCCAGCAATCTGTTGGTGCAAGAATCTCAGATATTTCCTGCATTTGCAGGGGTCTTGGGTGCGATTTTAATTCCCTTAGCACTTCCTTCTAGCTACCAGGAAGCTGATTCGTGGGCACCAGGACCATGTAGACTAATAGACATGTAGGTCAAGGAGCTGCAGTGAAGGAGGAAGGTGGTGAAATTGTTCTTTTTTTCTGCAAGTGCCAGTTCTGCTGACACAAGAGCCAGGAGGCAGCTTTACCTCATTCTCTCTCCTCATTGTAACCCCCTTACTAGCATGGCTATTTGTCCATGTGGGTCCCTTGACCCACTTTCCCAGAGTTAGAAGGGACTGCTGGGTGAGGGAAACATGGGAAAGATCTGTGGCCACTAGCACCTCCTTTTGACGGCTGATTTGACCCAGCGATAAATCACATCTGTTGGGTAGAATAACTTTATAATACTTCCCTATTCCATGATTTTATGAAATTCTTTTTATCCAAAATCATGAGTTAATATTGGGTGGAAATTAATTTATAACTGTAATCTTAAAGTTTTGGACACTCTAAACATGTAATTTTTTCCCTACTTAATCATGGCAAACCCAGTAAAGATGTGCCAGGTACTTCATTATGGCTCAGATTTGGTTAGTCTTGTTGGTTAATAGCTTTTGGATTCTGGAATATTGTAGTGGCTCGTGGCATATTTTGGTATTTAATTTAGAGGACAACATTCCTATTGGTCACATCTCTTTGTTGTTGTTGTTCAGTCGCACAGTCGAGTCCGACTCTTCGCAACCCCATGGACCACATCATGCCAGGCCCTCCTGTCTTCCATCGTGCTCCGGAGTTTGCTTAATTTCATGTTCATTGCATCGATAACACTGTCTAATCATCTCATCCTTTGCCGTGCCCTTCTTTTTTCTTCAATCTTTCCCAGCATCAGGGTCTTTTCCAGTGAGTGCTCCCTTCTCATTTGGTGGCCAAAGTATTTGAGCTTCAGCTTCGGTATCTGGCCTTCCAGGGAACAGTCAGGGTTAATTTCTTTTAGGATTGACTGATTTGTTCTCCTTGCAGTCCAAGGGACTCTCAAGTGTCTTCTCCAGCACCATAATTCAAAAGAAACTATTCTTCGGCGCTCGGCCTTCCTTATGGTCTAACTCTCGCAGCCATACATTACTACTGGGAATACCATTGCTTTAACCATACAGACTTTTGTTGGCAGGGTGATGTCTCTACTTTTTAATATGCTGTCTAGGTTTGCCATCGCTTTCCTCCCAAGGAGCAGGCGTCCTTTCATTTCATTTCTGCATTGATCTTGAATCCCAGGAACATGAATTCTGTCACTGCTTCCATGATTTCTCCTTCTATTTGCACTCTCCTCTTTTATCTTAGCAAGAGGCTCTTTAGGTACTCTTCAGTTTCTGTCATTAGAGTGGTATCGCCTACATATCTGAGGTTGTTGATCTTTTCCCCAGCAATCTTAATTCTGGTTTGTGATTCATCCAGGCCGGCATTTTGTACAATGTACTCTGCATATAAATTAAATAAGCAAAGTGACAATACATCCTTGTCATACTTCTTTTCCGGTGCTAAACCAATCAGTTGTTCCATATCCGGTTCTAACTTTCACTTCTTGACCCTTATACAGGTTTCTCAAGAGACACATGAGGTGGTCTGGTACTCGCATCTCTTTAAGGACTTGCCATAGTTTGTACTTCTGTCAGTTCTCTATCCACGTACTGCTGAAACCTAACTTGTAGGATCTTGACCATGACCTTGCTAGTGTGTGAAATGAGTGCAATTGTGTGATAGTTTGAACCAGAGGTCATTTCGGGGGGAAGTGCGGGGGATCGCAGTTCCCCCAGGTGAGGTAAGGGGGCGGGGCACATGACGAAGCCCCGCCCCCTGCTTCCGGCCGCCCCGCTTCCGACCCTCATTCAGCCGGGAGGAGGCAGGAGAAGAGGGAGGGTAAGTTGCTTCCTCCCTGCCTCTCCCCACCCCTGCCTGCCTGGGGCCAGGGAGGGCCTTCGAGGGGCTTCCTTGCACTCCCGCCGGCCTTGCAGGTCCACCGCCGGGCCCCTCATGGGGCTCGGCAGTGGAGCTGCAAGGGCGGCGGCCAGGACCGTTGGGGGTGGGGTGTGTGGCCTTATGACACACTTCCGGTGATGTCAGGGGGTGTGGCCTTATGACAAACTTCTGGTGATGTCAGGGTGTGTGGCATATGCTAATGAGTTATGCTAATGAGTTCCCCTAGCTCTTTTTCTATGAAACGACCCCTGGTTTGAACATTCCTTGGCATTGCGCTTCTTTGGGATTGGAATGTAAACTGACCTTTTTCAACCCTGCGGCCACTGTTGCATTTTCCAAATTTGCTGGCATATTGAGTGCAGCACTTTAACAGCATCATCTTTTAAGACTTTTAAGACTCAGCTGGGATACCATCACCGTGGCTAGCTTTGTTGTTAGTAATGCTTTCTAAGATCCGTTTGACTTCGCACTCCAGGATGTCTGGCTCGAGGTCAGTGACCACACCGTCGTAGTTGTCAAGAACATCGAGGTCCTTCTTGTATAGTTCTGTGTATTCTTGCCATCTTTTCTAATTTCTTCTGCTTCTGGTAGATATCTTCCATTTTTGTCCTTTATCGTGGCCAGCTTTGCATGGAACGTTCCCTTGATTTCTCCAATTTTCTTGAAGAGATCTCTAGTCCTTTCCATTCTATTG